AAAATGTATGTGGACAATTAGTAAAGAAATAACCGGAAAAACTAAAGATAAAAACGAAATACAAATAGAAGGAAGCGCTGGAACAGTGGCAAATGATTACAATCAGTATTTAATATCAGTTATACCGAACTTGCTAAAAAACATTGACATCTTACCTCATTCTTGTAATATTCACACGAACAATCAATCAATGTATCTAAAACCTACTACTCCTAAGAAGATTTGTGAACTGGTCAGAAAGATCAAAAACAAACATAGTAGCGGAGTAGACGAAATACCAACAAGTATTATGAAATATTCTGCTTATGAAATAAGGGATGTACTATGTTTCTTAATTAATAGTTCCTTTAAAAATGGCAGTTTTCCTACTAATCTTAAAGTAGCTTTAATAAAACCTTTGTATAAAAAAGGGGATCCCCAGAACTTGGACAGTTATAGACCTATTAGTATTTTACCAGGATTTTCCAAAATATTTGAATTGGCTATGTGTAACAGAATCGTACAATTTATGAATGTCTGTCACTTATTCAGTAAAAATCAACACAGTCAGACAATCAGAAACTCAAAACTTTTTTATTTTTCCAGATAAACAAATGAAATTTGGTGTGTTTATTTATGACCCGGATATGCATTATTTGACGTATTTAATTTTTTACTATCACTTCCGGAAGTGACCCTAACTTTCTTATTTTAAATGAGACGCTAGGTATATTTTTCCTCATTTTAATAGAAAACTACATTACGAGTACAATGACACCTCATTTGTCACTTTTTGACATTTCATCACCAAATTATTTAAATTTTTACTTTTAAATCTAGAGCACCATGAATAAGTCAAAATGCTTAATTTTGCTCCTAGGAACATGGGAAAATTTGTTTTGAGCTTATTTTGAATTTTATATCCTCTAAAGGCTCATTTGAAGTTAGTAGCAGCGCATTTTTGGAATTATATCAATTTTTTCAAATGGAAAGGATATGGCTTATTAGCATATTTCGAGAGAGCATTTTCTAACAAACAATTGAGTACCACACAATCGCTAGTATATTCAAATATTGAACTAAAATTTTCCAAAAATATTTAGAATGCTAGAAAAATTCTTAATTTGAGTGATGGACTAGCGATTGTGTGGTACTGAATTCCTCGTTAGAAAACGCTCTTTTGGAACATGCTCATGAGCCATACCCTTTCCATTTGAAAAAACTGATATAATTCTAAAAATGCGCTTCTACTATCTTTAAATGAGTCTGTAGAGGATATAAAATACAAAATAAGATCAAAACAAATTTTCCCATGTTCCTAGGAGCAAAATTAAGCATTTTGACTTATTCATGGTGCTCTAGATTTAAAAGTAAAAATTTAAATAATTTGGTGATGAAATGTCAAAAAGTGACAAATGAGGTGTCATTTGTACAGGGTATTTGATTATATTTGGCACCATACCTACAGCCTTTACTATTTAAGATAGAAGAAAATTGTAAATACAAAATTTGACAGTTTTTTTTTTATATTTTCTCTTAACGTTATCAGAAAAAACAAAATCGCATCAGAAAATGGAGAAACGTAGACAACTTCGACTTTTTTAAATGGAACACCCTGTATATTTTGCGATAAAATGAAAGATACCGACAAACTTTAAGGGGTAGTAGGGGACATCAAAACAAGCAATTTTGTTTATATAAACATATGTCCGCAAATGAGTCATTTGGGCTATAGAGCAAAAAAACTGTTTGGCACTTTTATTCTCCGCAACTCACTGTTTACTTATTAATTTTGCTTTATTAACCAATAAATTATGGTTTACAATAATTGTTCAAAATGTTGACCATTTACTTCAATGCAAAGATTGCACCGTCGGGTCATTGACTGAAAAGTTTAGTCTACGAAACACCTGTTCGTAATGAGGAAGATCTGTTAGCAAGGATACTGGCGAGTTGTACCCTTGTAGAAGCTATTTCTGGAATATTCCAATGACCCGACGGTGCAATCTTTAAATTGAAGTAGATGGTCAACATTTTGAACAATTAATCATTTGTCAATAAAGCAAAATTAATGAGTAAACAGTGATTTAATTATTCCGAAGAATAAAAGTACCAAATAGTTTTTTGGATCTACAGCCCAAATGACTCATTTGCGGACATATGTTTATATAAACAAAAATGCTTGTTTTAATGTCCCCTACTACCCCTTGAAGTTTGTCGGTATCTTTTTGGGACACCCTGTATATGTTGACCATATTTGCGTCAGCCATTTTTGACATATCTTAGCTTAAATTATAACTAAATTACAAAGAAATTTTATAAAGATAGAGATCTTTATGGAACTTCTCTGCAAGTTCTTTATAATTTAACCTGAGATATGTCAAAAATTACTTAAGCAAATGTTATCAATATATATATATATATATATATATATTTGGAATCAGAAAGAATAGATCTTTCATTTTATCGCATAATATACAGGGTGTTCCATTAAAAAAAGTCGAAGTTGCTTACGTTTCTCCATTTTCCGATGCGATTTTGTTTTTTCTGATACCGTTATCAGAAAATATAGAAAAAAACTGTCAAGTTTTGTATTTAAAATTTTTTTCTATCTTAAATAGTAAAGGCTGTCGGTATGGTGCTAAATATAATCAAATACCCTGTACATACTCGTAATGTAGTTTTCTATTAAAATGAGGAAAACTATACCTAGTGTCTCATTTAAAATAAGAAAGTTAGGGTCACTTCCGGAAGTGATAGTAAAAAATTAAATACGTCAAATAATGCACATCCGGGTCATAAATAAACACACCAAATTTCATTTGTTTATCTGGAAAAATAAAAAAGTTATAGGGGTGAGCGGCTTTTGAAAAACACCCGGTATACCCCATAAAGGTGTTAACAAACTATGCAAATTTCATTAAATTCGTCCAACGCATTTCTAAGAAGTAATAAAAAAATTGTCTTTTTTTACAAAGTTTAACACCCTGTATCTGGAAAGCGAAGCATTTCCGAACACATGTTTATTTTAAAAAAAAGCTTAACTACTTACTACGAGATCTACCATCCCTAGAAGCTTGTAACAAACTTTTCGTGACACCCTGTATAATATACTATTATTTAATTTTATAATTCAACTAGAATTACCCTTCACGGCTTCGCCCGCGATTTTTCAACTTATTAGGCTATGTAGGTATTATCTATGGTATGTGTCTATGAAAAATGTTGTGTTTGACATTGCTTTTGCAGTAGGTATGCTTTGTTTTCGATGACGACAAACCATCGATTACTTCTGGGGATGCCTCTTGATATTACCCTACTCAGTTCAGATAATGACACCCTCCCGTCATAATCTGCGTGTTCGTATAATCGTCTTCAATGGCCTGGTTGATTATATTATTATTATTTACAATTTATATTAAATGCTGATGCCGTGCAGTTGGTGAGGTGACTGATTGACATAGTTTCGGACACTCTGCTGATGCTGAGCTACTTACTGAACGGATTGTGCTTATTGTGATTATGCAATGTTATGTATGTACGCTTGTTGGTTGTTGTGCCAATATCTTTGGTTGTGCCATGAAAGGATTTATGTATTCAAGTCGCTAGTTGATTCTGCTATGAAAGGATTTTGCAAAAATTTAATTTTAAACAGCGAAGTTGTTCCGTGTAGTGTAGACATGTTTCACATATTCGGCGAGCTAAAATCCGATTGAAGCCAAATTTCGTAAAACTGAAAAATTAGTTTTTAGATATTCATTTCAGAAGTATTTCAGAAAAAGAATGGCGTCGATATCTTATTTTATTATCAAGTTATGACAGCTTAAATGAATTTGTAACAAAATTTTTTGTGTAACCCTTTTTGCCCCTTCCACTTTGAATTTCAGAAAAAGCATGAATTTGTTTTTAAATATTTATATAAAGAATATTTTAGTACAAAAACGAAGTCGATATCTTAATTAGAAGCCGAGAAAACTGAAAAAATGTGAATTTTTAAAAAAAATTGTTTTTAACCCTTTAAAATTAAAATTTTTCAAAATCCTTTCATAGCACACCTACAAATACGTAACAGAACATATCCTGAAAATTTCATGTCTCTAACTTAAATAGTTTTGGCTGGGCGTTGATAATCAGTCAGGACAAGCTCTTTTATATATATAGATAATTAAGTATTGTTTTGTAAATGTCATTTTATCTTATGACTTATCTATAATTCCATTTGTCGACGTTTATTTATTATTGACTTGTGTAAGCTTGGTATTAAACATTAGTATGAATAAAGAGTCAGAATCAAATTTTGTCTTCTGTGAGCAGACTAATTGAAACAAAATATCCGGTATAGATCGGTTTTTCAGGCACCAAACATTATAGAACGTGTGACCAAAACCAAGGTTGGAAACGGAACGCAACCTTAATCTAAAACTATACAGGGTGTGTAGACGAAACTGAACAATGATGAATATTTTAGTGTTTTATACAATAACAATTCAGCTTGTGACATTGAGCCCCCACAGAGAGCATAATTTCAATGAACTGGCACTGGCACTCTACTGTCCATTCATCAAAGAAATAGAAGGTCTGTTCCAACCCTCCAAAAAACCGTCCCAAGAACGGTTTCGGAACCACTCTATGCACGAATTTCGGATTCTACGCAAAAATTTTGCGTTTCACACCTGATGATGAAATGATCAGTTCCCTGCTGGGTTGGAATAAAGCTTAATGTCTCTCAAGCTCGTTTTTTTGACTTAGAAATTTGATTTTTTCCAAAATGATATTGATCGACATTTTGCATGAGAACTTTGTTAATTTCAATCCGATCTTAATGTAATTAGGCTCAAATTAAGGTCAACTAAATTCTTTACAAATCATAGTCAATAGTTTCAATGCAGCAAGTTGTTTTTTTACTGCTTGTTGAAGAGCTCTGTGATCCAATTGTTTTATTTTAAGTTCAAGATTGAAATTTATTTGAATATTTCCCGTCAAAGTAACTTCAAAAACTTAATTTGATGTTTTTATTTTAGATATTTGACCAAAAAATACATTTTAGCAATGGATATTAAAATCAAAATCAAAGAGATAATAAATAATAAAATTAATGCATCAATGGCTGCTGATAAAAAGAACTTACTTAATGAAATACAAAACTCCAATATTGATGTTAAGGTTAAGATTGAAAAAGATTTAGCGGATTTACATAAGTAAGTACCTACATCATAATCAACCTCACAAAATTTGATGCAACAGAACAGTGAAAACTTAAGCATTTGGTTTTATTCGAGTTTTATCATTTCTGGAAGGGGAAGTAACTTAAGATTATTTACATTTTATGTTTTTTTTTTCTTTAATTTCAAGTCGCAATTATGTACCATTGTTACCAAAAGTATCTCAGACAAAAATAATGCATAATAATCCCCTGGACTAATTCTACCATCATTCATTTAATGATTCATAGTTTGACAAATATTTGACACTAAAAATCATATAATACATATTATGTAGTACAAGAGCTAATATGATGCTGTCCCAGTTACTTTTGGTTATCAGAAGATTGAATGCACCAAGTTTTTTCTTCCAATTTACTTGATGTATTATAATGATGTAAAAAAAACCTTTTTAGAGTTGATCTATTGAAAAAACATAATAACATTCGCATAAAAGAAGATCCAGACTCGACTAAGAATTTCAAAAATGAAGAAGAATCGAAAAAATCAAATCAGTAAGAAATTTACAAACAAAGTGAGTCATAATAATAAAAATTACTTTTCAGGTTCTCCACTGTTTATATTAAACAAGAAATTGAAGATGAAGATTCTGCCAAAGAAGAAAATCCCGATCCAACTGATAATAAGGAAAGCAAAAAAGAGGATAATAATAGGATAGCATCAAAATGTAAAATTTGCTGCATTTAAGTATAAATCTAGATTAACAAAACATTCAATGTGTTCTTGTATGTTGATAATTATTCGAATTTATATTACATTTAAAATTTTTGTATTGAAACAGTCGTGGTTAAATATTGTACAAAACTTGTGGGATAGAGCTTCTCTATCCTTTCAATTATTTTCTCTTTTTCTTGTTGCAGACAAGACAAGAACAGAATTCCAATACCGCGTCATCTATACTCCTCACCAACGGATAGAACTGGAGAAAGAATACTCACGGGAAAAATTTGTCAGTCTTCGGCGAAAAATACTTTTGGCCCGCGAGTTGGGCTTGAGCGAACGGCAAGTGAAAATTTGGTTCCAAAATCGACGTTCGAAAGAAAGGAAACTTAAAAAACGCAATAAAGCGGAGGAACAACCACAAACGGAACAAATTACTGACTTAAAACCACAAATAAACGTTACATCTATTGACCATATTAGAGATACTATTTTGTTCATGCAAAAATTACAGCAATCAGTTTTGGCGCGGTTTCTGGCCAATAGTAACCGTCATCAGCCAGAAAATTGAAAATTAGCTTTAAATTTGTTTAATGATCTCACTTCAACGTTATAAAAAGAATTAAGATACATTTTGGCAACGCTGTAAACTCTTATTCTGTTACAATGAACTATAACCAAAAACTGGAATGCTAACACATAATGACGAACGTGAAGCATAGTGCGGCTGCTGCGGAGGGGATACCTGTTTTTGTCGCACTCAATATGTTAAATGGCGAAAATTGCTTCCAACACGTATTCCAATTGATGAAACCTGTGAAGGGAAATATGACAAAACTTTCGAAAACGTCATATGTCAGCGAGCAACAGAAAAAAACAACATTCCCCCTTGTGCTGTCTTTCATGGCCTCATTTTTTTGGCATATATGGCAATGTGTGCGCATTCCAGTTTTTAGCTATAGTTCATTGTTCTGTTATGATGTTACCATATTTTCGCAGTGTTGCCAGTTGCCATGATACATTTAATATTATTGATAAGTTTGCTTTTTTTCTGATAACATTGAAGCGAGACAAGTAGGTATACACACTGGTGACGCACGGTATGTTTTGCTAATTGAAAACGCTATTAATGTATTTTTTAAAGCCTAGTACCCATAACTGCAAAGCGAATCACTGATTTTTATTTTACAGAACTTTTGCTATTGATCGAACATATTTGAATTTGACAAAATATTGGGGATATTTTCAACTCTTTGCGGGTAAAAATGATTTTCAACTATAGGTATGCAAAATTTGCAGTGGTTTTTGTCGCCATCTTTGTTAACTTTTTATTTTTTTCTCTCTTGCAGAGATAAAAACTGTCAAAAAAAAACGCAGAAGGCCCATCCTCAATCAATTTAGTAGCGAAGTGGCACTTCAGCATGCACGCTAGGACAATATTGTTTAATGTTTGCATCCTCAATTCAATTCCGTGCCAGCATGCACGCCGACTCCGAATTGCAAGCTGCAAGTGCCACTTCGCTATTAGATTGATTGAGGATGTAGCGAGTGCTGAATTTGTGGTTTATTTTCTAATGGAATTTTGACGGGGAAAAAAGTCATATTCCGCAATCCGCAGTTATGAGTACTAGAAAAACTGAAGAATCTGATATCTTTGTTAACAAATGTTTTTCAATTTCCTCTTTATTTGTTGTCAATAATTTATGTGATGAAGGTCGAATGATTATTCACCAATACATTTAGAACTAGAAGTATATTTTTTTTAATATTATTATTAGGTACCTATTAATAATTAGTTCTTAGCTCTAATACTTTCATTAAGCATTCATTATTATTCATTCACAAGAATAAATGTGATTTTAGCAGCTTAGCTTAATTTTTGTGATGTATGGATTACTGGATCATACAAAATTCCTTGGTAATGGAATAACGGAAAAATTTAAAAAAAAAAAGTGAAAAACTAAATATCCTCAACAAACAATACTTATTTACAGGGACGTAGCGAAGGCCTCACGTTTGGGGGGGGTGACATTCCTAATTTTCCCAACTTTATTACAACATGAAAAAAATCAAATGTAGCATCGTACACGTGTTAAGAAGTGAAATTTCTTAAAAACTATTCCTTTCCTCATAGAACTTTTGGACTCAGCGCATGAGTCGGGGTATAAAGACGGAAGGCTATATAAAAGATAAATGCGCATCTGTATTGACGTCACAAGGGAATCGGCGCTTGACAAGAGTAACCGCGCAATTACAATGGCACTTTTCACTTTGCAGGCAGACCCACAGTGCAGATAAAATGGTAGCTGCTGCTTTTCAGTTTTTAGTTTTTTTTTTCGCATATAGTCTCTATGGCTTGTATCATACAAAACTTGTCGAATCCGCACGGCCTCAATTAATTTCTGAAACATTCAAAACACGCACCGTGACTCTACGAGAAAAACTCCCGCAAGTACACTGCGCTCCGCAGGAACAAATCTGCGTCACTTCACGCTGCTGGTCGCTGTGAAGTCTATTCTTACTTAGGTTCACAAAAACTCGCCGTGACTCACGCTGTCTCACGTCACCAAGCTGCATCTCATTATGCGCCGAGCCTAATAGGTATCACACAAAATACAAGGGTATCAGCGTTTGGCAATCCTCTTTGCTTATAATCCTTGGTTTGTGTCAAGCGTTCCTCGTGTCATTGTCATTAGCTCGCTTTCGCCGTCTCTCTACAGTCTACGTTATATCTTCCTTCTCTCTCGTCTCTCGTGTAACAAATTTGCCAAAACGTGACGTTACGTGATGCATCTTTCAAATAACTCTCCATATTCTCGTCGAAATATCAGACCGCCGCCTAAAGGCCGGGACTTATCTATCATGTATTCTTCCGATCCTACTCTGATCATACAATCAGGGTCCTTATTCTTGGAACAAGGGAACAGCGTTCCCAGGAGAACGAGGGTTCCGTCTTCGTTACTCCTATTATCAGTTGAATTGAGAAAAACGGAACACTCGTTCTCCTGGGAACGCTCCTCCCTGTTCCAAGAATAAGGATCCTGATTGTATGATCGGAGTCGGATCGGAAGATTGCATGCTAGATGTGTTCCGGACTTAAGAAGTTTCACTTTAAAAACTGATAAAAAGTTTAACATGTTTATATTCCAGACTAGACCTACAAATTATTCAAATAAAATAACAACTGTATAAAAAAACGACAAAAACGTGTAGGTATAAGAAAAATGTTTGAAAAAATTAAAAACTATTTCTTCAACTCAAGAGCACCAGGATTCAGAGTTCTGCTGAAATCTGAATAGCGAATGAAGAATGCGCAGAACGCGGAAGGCAACATAATATAAGAAATTTGGATTATCTAATATACTATATAGCGCTAGTGGTGCTAGTGCTACTACTGCCACAAGTGTCACGTGCTACTGCCACAGGCTAGTGGCGCTAGTACAGTGAAAAGTGCGACGCAAGAAATCGCCGCGACCATTGGGATTTCGTCATTCTGTTGTCCGGTGCTTTTGCAATTCATTACGACACGTGACACGGTCCTAATGTTAATTTTAACCATTCCTCGTAATAAGGTGCGCAAATTTTTGTCTACCAATTTTTCCCAACTTTAAATTTTTCATTCAAGTTTTCCCAACTTTCGATATATTTCAGGAGCTTTGAGGGGGGGGCACCACCCCCCCCAGCCCTCCCCATGACTCCGTCCCTGCTTATTTAGAATCTGAAAAAAAAGATCTAATAGAAAAAAAATTATACAGGACTGTCATCATAGACGATCACTCTTACATTTTAACTTTTTTTTCTGGCAAACCATTGAAGGGAAAATTATGAAACTTCCAAGAGAAAAAAAGGAAGGTTAAGACATCATACAAAATTTCAAACTTATCCAGTGAGTGAAAAGTAACAAAATGGGAAGTTAATGAAAATCAACTTGTAATCCAAATTAAACAAAAATGCACCCTCTTGCATTTTAATTTTTTTTCTAGAAAACCACCGGAAAGAAAAATATGAAACTTTTAGAAAAAAAAACAGGAAAGTTAGGAGCACATCATACTAAAATTTCAAACTTGCAAAATCCAAATTAAGCAAAAATGCACCCGCTTGCACTTTGATTTTTTGGAAAAATTATGAAACTTTTAGAAGAAAAAGGGGAAACTTATGAATTCATTCTACTAAAATTTCAAAATGAATATGTACCTCTCAAAAATTCGTCTAGCAATTTTTACCAGAAGTGATGATTATAGGCTCAGACATTGTGACTTCTAATGGACTTTGTTTGCTTACAGGGGGGCTCACCTGAAAAAAATAACACAACCACAGAAAAATTGTTCGTAGATTTGTAGTTTGATGACTCAAATCAATTAAAATGTGCTAATAACATGGAAAAAGCATTTAAAAAACATCAAATACTTCAAAGTTATTTATAAAACATTAACATCAACAGAAGTTTAATGTACTTATAGTGGATCACCTTGTACTTAATTTACTTGTTTACATGAAAACCTGAGGCATAATCCAGGCATTTCAAAAATGCAAGTCAGCTTTAAAAGTTATGTTTTTGTTAATGAATGTAAAGAAAATACTCATATAAACATGTCAACACAAAGTTTCAGCTCGTGTTCCAAAGTGTCCAAATAATTAACTCAGCTCCTGGACTATTATTAGGCCTACTAATCAACTATCGACTGAATTCTCATAAATCCTTTAATGACTGGCTTTCTAAGAGTGCACCACTATGAGTGTCTCAAAAAAATTGAATACTTTCAAATTGCCTTTTTGAAAAATATCTCTCTAGCAATCAGCTAAAGAGTGTAATAATATGCACCTTCATATTAAATTCGTTTTGGAAATAGCTAAAAATGTTAGTGGACTACCATTAGCAATTAAACAAAGTTTAGGCTAGTGTTAATTTAGGTTAGTTGGGCTGTTGCTAGTGGTAGCGGTTTGAAATTTGCGATAATTAGAACTTATTTTGAGACACTTTAAGACATTGGAGCATTACACAAAAACATCTTTAGATGATTTCCAGTAACAGTTTTAGCTATGGATTTGTGAGCACTAGATGCATTATGTTTATTTCTGCGAAATTAATTACCGTTTGTACAGTTTGTTTGCTATTGGAGTTAGAAATATGCGGTATCCGCAAACGTTGTCTACTTTTTTGTCAAACAAAAGATGGGGCTAACAGAATTGTCATTGCTCTTTTTGTTTTTGAGATACAAGGTGTTTTTGAAAAAGTTGCATTTTGGGACACCCCTCGTATATCGGTTCTCTCATAAGTGATCGAAAAGGTGGCAACAGTTTCTTATAGATATTTTTACGTAGCTTCCAGTGGCGTAGCCAGTTTTTCTCTAGAAGTGATATTTTTCAAATTATGAACCAAACATACATTTTTTTCAAATGAGACACTCTTTATATTATAAACTCATTGGGTAATTCTGCTTTTGCTGATTTCAATTATATGAAATTCGATAGGTTTATCTCTTAACAGTTTTTGAGCAAAATTTTTTTTTCATAAGAAACAATGTGTTAGAAAGAGACCTTTCTCATTTTCCTTACAGATGCAAAGTCCTTTTCTGATACATTGTTTCTTATGACAAATGCAAACATGATCAGTGACGCACCCAGAAAATATGTTTGGGGGACCCTACATAGGTTGTGGCTTGTGACTAAAAATCTAAAAAAAAAAAATTAGGTGCCAGGGTGCAACGCCTTGATGTTGCTACATTTTATATACGTAAAAATACAGTTTTAGAGGAGTAGCCTAGCGGGGGGTTTGGCCCGATGCCCTCTCTTGGGTGCGCCACTGGACATGATAGAGATAAACCTATCGAACTTTATATCATTGAAATCAGCAAAAGCAGAGCGATTAATATACAGGGTGTCTCATTTGAAAAAAACGTATGTTTGATTCATAATTTAAAAACTATGACTTCTACAGAAAAACTGACTACGCCACTGGAAGCTATGTAAAAATATCTATAAGAAACCGTTGTCACCTTTTCGATCACCTATGAGACAACCGAGATACAAGGGGTGTCCCAAAATGCAACTTTTTCAAAAGCACCTTGTATCTGAAAAACAAAAAGAGCAATGATAATTCTGTTGGCGCCATATTTCGTTTGACAAAAAAGTAGCAAACGTCCGCGGAAACCGCATCCTTCTAACTCCAATAGCAACCGAGTTATCCCTTATGGATAACCAAAATGGGACACACTGTACATTAGTGCATGTCTCATGAATGATACGTAGATTATTTTCTAAGTCATCAAGTAAGATAATGAAGTACGTCGTTGTTGTCCCAGACTGCGTTATTGTCATGAGGTCATTAACTCGGGTTAACAAAGTTTCTTGGTTACTTTTGATTTTATTCAATTGTGTATCTTTATCTTCGGTCAATTTTTTAACAATTGTCTGGGTTGAAGATGTGTCTTGTTGTAATGTGTTTTGATTTTCTTGGAGGGTTCTGATGTAATTATCATAACGTTCTCCGTCATCAGCATCTAACGTGCCTTATAGGTATTTTTGAGTCTTTCTTAAAAAGTTGAAAAGTCCTCTTCTGGTTCTTTTTTCGTGGAGTTGTATAATGATCGATAAATAATTCGAAATCTAAGGATCTAATATTTGAATTGCTTGAAGTTTGATTAACTTGTAAAAGGGTAATTTTGTTGACTCTATGCAATCTTTCATATTAGTTAAATTTACATGGTAATAGACATGATGATAATTGGTTATGATATAACTAGTTCCTTGGTAGACTGGTAGCAAAGGATTTGTTATTTTTTCAATCTTATATTGAGCATTGATGAGTAGCGGAAGTACTGTGAAGAATGCGAAGATAATCTCCATCTTTTTTTTCTGAAAATTAGGATC